TAAGATACAGGGATTAAAGGAAATGTGAGGATGAGAGGAAGCAGCAGAGGTTTTGTTATACCCAAGGCAGCATTTCTTTCTTAAAATGTGACCTTTCGATCACCTGCAATATAATCATTCTGGGTAGGCCCCCAAAATCTATGCAAGCGGCTCAGTGATTTGTAGGGACCCAGGTCTCTGCGATCCCCTCCAACAACCAGTAGGCTGGCTCTGCTGGAGCCGGGAGATCTCAGGTCTGCCTGTTTTCTACAGGTGTCTCCATGGTGACAGGTCCTCCAGGCAGCCCCCAGAGCAACCTACTTCCATCAGTAGTTCAGGGTCTGCCTTTGTCCCAGGGTTTATTTCTTGGCCTTTAGATTTGGGACTGAAGACAGGCTCTGTCATGCTAAGTCAGGTAACTATCATTTCTTACCTGCATGCCACAGGGTCCTGAATGATCAGCCCCCTGCTTACCTCTTGCTCCCTTCTTATCACTTGGCTCTAGGCAGCACTGGCTCCATCCTATCGAGTATCTTCCTTCCTTAGGTCCTTTGCCTGAGCCACTCCATCTGCTTAGGACTGTTATGGAAGACTCAAAGGGTCCACTTGCCTGTGTGCATCCAAGCCGAAAAAGAAACGAGCAGGAGTTTGCAGCAAAGAAAGTAAAGGTTTATTTAGGGAGTTGGTGCCAAGCCCAGAGACACGGATGACCTAGTGCTCTCAAAAATCTAGCTCTATGATGGTCTCTAGCAGCTAGATTACATAAGGGGAAAATTATTAATGATAGTTACTATGGGAGTTGGGGTCATGGACTCTACTGATTGTTTGGGGCTAAAGCAGGGAGCAGTTGATTATGGCTCCAGGTCCTCGTGTCAGTCATGGTATTGTTCCATCCGGTTTTCAGGGGATGCAGTCCGTGGGCCGTTCTACTTTCACGAGTCTGGAGCTGAAACATAACTGAGGCTACGGCGTTATCTTTGTTTAACTAAAACCTTATTTTAGTTTGAGGTTTGGTTATTGTATCATGGTCATGGTTGATAGACCTGAAGCTTTATTCTTAAGTGAGTCTGACACTGACCAGAACCTAATGTCCTAAAGGCTTAATGATTAAAAGGAGTGGACATACAGAATATATATAGGTAGGAGGATCTGGGGAAAGAATGCAAGTGAGTCATAGTTCTATCAGGCTAAACAAAGCCAGCTTGGATTAAAGCACAATGCACGCTAAAGAAATGAAGTTCATGTGCAGTTACAGAACCTCCCCACTTCTTTCCCCTGCCTGATTTATTGAAATTTCAGGTCTCAGCTTAAATATCATTTCTCAGGGAAGCCTTCTTTGAACTCCAGAATAGGCCCAGTGCCACTTTTACACACGCTCGTGGCTCTTTGTACTTCTTCCCGGTGCTTATCATAATTGTAAATATAATAATTAATGTAATTATTGGTTTATGTTTGTCTTTCCTGCTATTCTATGAATGTGATGACAGCTGGGAGCATGAGTGTTTTGTTCACTATTTCCCTAGTACCTAGTACAGAGCCTGACACAGAAGCAGTGCTTAAGAAGTACTTGTTAGGCCGGCCGAGTGGTGCGATGGTTAAGAACTGGCTTGGGACGCCAGAGGGCCCCGGTTCGGATCCCACATATGAGGGCCAGTGACACTGCCCTCCAAAGCTAAGATGCCGAACAACAGCTCAACCTAGAGCTGGGCTGCCATGAGTCCCTGGCGACGGCTAGGCTGCAGCCCCTGTGGCAGTGGGTTGCCATGGGCTACCGTGTGTAGCCAGCAGTCAGCGTGAGCAGCCAGCAGCCGCAGTGAGCGACCGTCCTAGAATCCGGTGACTGATGTGCCTCGCCTGGGAAGAGCGCAATGATGGTGCCAACTTGGGCCAGTGAAGCAACGTCCTCCACAACTAGACTGAAGAACAAAAGGACAGCAACTTGTCTGTTCCCCTTCCCCCAATTCCCCAGCTGCTGTTCCTATCCCCCAATTCCCCAATAAAAATCTTAAAAAAAAAAAAAGTACTTGTTGATAAATGAATGTCTCTTCCAACCATAATTTTCCAGGAAGTCCCCTCATAGTCACGCTCTCCTCCCTCCACCCTCCAGCCCAACTCAGAGAAGTAAATAAGCAATCAGGATTCTACCTCCCTTTCTCTGAGAACCTGGGACCAGTGATGTTGAAAAAGAATGAATCATCTGGGGATGAAAGGAGAGAGAGCTCAGCAAAAGACAAAGGCCTTCATTATATCCACATTCAGAAACCCCCTCTGCAAACTCCTAACTGGTGGTCTCTGGCTTGCCCTAAACTATACCCTAAACTAATAGCAGATAGCTAAGAGATCAGTAATAAGATTTAAGGAGACAACTAAAATATTGATGAATTAAGGCTTGGCAAATAACTAAACTACTGTCAATGTAAAAAACGTCTAAACCTGTAGAGAATTTTTATAAAAGTTTATTTGAACAAAACTAATGATATTTGCTGGGGAGCAAGATCTGAAATGCTGTAGAGGATAACAGTTTGCAGGGTTTTTTTAATGCATTTGGAATTAAGGAGGGAAAGTAGGGAAGATTACATGAAGGTGGAAGAAAACAAGGCAGGGATTGTATTACAAGATTATGTGCTTTCTTAAGAGTGGTTATGACTTTGAGGGGTATGACTTCTGGTATTTCAAAGGTGTGTTAACCTACATGCACAAGAACAATGGACAGGGCTGGCTTAAAAACATTTCACAAAAGAAGTTATAGGCCTGGGGTATGGCTAGCCACCATGACCTGCCCTTTTTTGTCCACAGTACTAAATGCTAATATATAACCTAATAAATAAAGTATTTGGCTTACAGTTAAAGTGTTAGAAGATAATTAGGTGTTAGTAGAAAAATCAAATATTAACTACTCAAGTGTTAGCTGATAACAAGGGATTAATTTAAAACTAAGTTGTTAGCACATACTGGTTAACCAATGACTAAGGTAACAGCTGATAAGGATTTGAAGTGAGATTTTTTTCAAGGGGGCTCTTGCACATTAGAGAGGACTTGGAAACAGCAGAAAACTTATAAAACCTGTAGGAATGAAGGTCTGAGACTGTAAAGTCCTCAGCTGGACTCTAAACTTCTGGGGGAAACTGTTTGCTTGTCTTTAGTTTCCAGATAGGGTTTAGTCAGGGACAGCATGAACCTGGTGCTCAAAATGCTTACCCTCTAATTACATTTAATCTGCTAAGGACCGGTCACCGTACTGAGGAGAGAAGGGAGGGCAGTTGCTTAAACAATGAGAATAGAGTGTGGTGAGTCAGCGAGTGAGTAGTGTGTGACCGGAAAGGTTTAGGGGGTTTGTGAAGGCTGGGTGGAAGCGAGAGCAGGTGTATCAGGGAGAAACGACAAGTTTAGTTCTGTATGTGTCGAACTGAGGGGTCCGGAGACATGCCCAGTAGGCAGGTTGATATGAGTCCAAGGTAGAGATTTGAGTCCAAGGTACAGATGATGGTGAAAACCATGAGAAAAAAAATGATAAAGCTGAAGAAGAGTGTATGGAGTGAGAAAAGGGATCAGCGTGGAACCCCAAGAAAGAACAACATGGAGGAGTGGACAGAGGAGAAAGAGACATCAACAGATACTGAGAAGGAAGGAGCACTGGGAGAGGAAGAAAACCAAGAGAAGACAGCGGCATGAAAGCTAAGGGAAGAGAATGTGTTAAGGAGAAGAGTGTCATCAGCAATGTGAGACGTGGCTGAGAAGTCAAGCAGGATAAAGTCAGAGAGGTATCCATTGAGAATGTGGTTCTGAAATGTCCATCACAAAAGTTTCTGTGATAGCTGGGTTTCATTGTATGCATGTGTATGTACGCATGAGCATATGCAGAGCTGGAGTTTGGAGCAGGATGTGTAAGGGCAGGCTGGAGGCCACCACAGAGGGGCTTATGGTCAGCTCACAGAGAACTTTCATTTACTCTGGGCAGCTTTTGAGAAAGACCATTAAGGGAGATTGTGAGAACTGTAAGCACAGTTCAACCCTTTTGTTGTCAAGTGGGAAAACTGAGGACAGAAGACAGGGAACAATTTGCTCAGCCTGTGAGTCAGAAACACAGCCAGGACCTGAATCTGAGTCTCCTTCTACAAGGGTGACCTTGGGAGAAGCAGACATGAAATTCTTATTGGCCAATGTATTATCAGTGACTTTTCCCATTACTTCAGTTTTTAGCTGCCTCTTTTTTATATTTATATAAAAATGAAATACATATTTTACATACAAAATTCAAAATTACAGAAATACTTAACAAAGAAAGTAAATAACTCCTGTTATCTCACTCTACACCCCCCATCACCCCCAGCCCTCACACAGACAACCACCATTAACAGTTTGGTCTATAGTCCTTCCCCTCTCTTTCCCTCTCATTTAACATTGTAAATTTTTAATAAAAATATTATACTATTGAATATATACTGGATTTTTTTTTCTGTGGGTGTATGTGTTCATTCTGTTTTACAAGTTGTCTTTTGTTCACTTTTGGACAACTTTCTATGGTAGCATATAAAAATATAATTCATTCATTTTAATAACTATATTAGTGTATCATTTGGATTTGTACCATAATTTATTACCAGACCATATTGATGGACACAATTTTCACTCTTAGGGATAGTGTACATACATATTATTACACATATATATTTGCATAGTTGGGGAGTCTTCTAGAAAGAGAAATGATGAATCAAAGGTATGAACATTTTATTTTAAAAGCTTTTATCAAATCATGCTCCAAAAACTTGTGCCAGTTTATTGTCCCACCAACAGTCTTTTGGTCAGTGAATTCTTATTGGGTTGATTTTAAAAGGCTTGGAAGCCTTTGTACCAAATTAATAACAATGTTTACCTCCATGGAGTGAAAGTATAGAAAATGAGGGGGATACTTTCATTTTATTATGTCATCCTGTATTATCTTACAATGCTTTTGCATTATTTTGTAATTTAAAAAATAATATGGAGGAAATCAACAACAAATACATGTTCTGCCTGGATTCTCATTGGCTAGAAATTCATGTTGGGTGCAAGTTTTCATTGATCACAAGTTATTTTTTGGTTTATATGCAAAAAAACATTTATTGAATTCCTCTTATTGAGCTGGCACTGCCCTAAGCACATTTATAGGTCTTTCATCCTAATCCTCACAACAGCCCTGTGAGGTAGGAATTAGCCCTGTTTTACAGAGTTCCTAATAGATAGATTATTGCTTGACATATTCCTATTTGCCACATGTTTTCATGGGCTAGACGTTCTTATTGGCTGGTGATTCATTGGTCAAGTGCTCTTGTTGGCCAGGAGTATAGGTTGTTCTAAGATTCAAATAATCAAAATACTAAAATTTTCCCCCCATAGGAGTGATGGGGTAAGTGGGATAAGAGCGGAGGAAGGAGAATCAATGGTTTCTCCTTTTGAAGCACCATTTGAATTTGCATTGGTTACCCATGGAAGATGGGGAGCAAGGGGACAATGGGAGAGGAGGGAAAGTGGTTATAAGTCTTCTCGCTTCTTCAGGATGAGCTTCCTCACAAGTGCTGTGATCTGGGGCCTGATCTCCTCCACTGACATGGTTGGGTCCCAAGCCCCTACCACCTTTCCATCTGGGGCCACTAGGTACTTCCAGAAGTTCCAGGTGGGCTCCTTCCCAGAAGTTTCTAGAAAAAGGAAGAAAGAGAGCAAAGTGTGCTTCCCTGTTTACCCTCTCCTAGAATTCCACTATCAGTGTCCATTCATCCCTTGAAGCAGTGGTTCTATAAGTTAGAATTAACTGGAGAGTTTTTTACATCCTGATACCCAGTCCACACCCCAAACCACTTATATCAGAATCTCTGGGGGTAAGACTCAGGCATCTGTATTTTTTAAAAGCTCTCTAGATTCCAGTATGGCGCCAAAGTTGAAAACTACTGCTCTAGGATTCTCTTAAGTGCTTGACAAAGCAGTATGAGACCTTCCTTTATTAATGACCTCAAACTACAGAATAGTCTACACCTTATTCTCTAATGAAATCTTAATGGTTTCCAGATGTTAGTCTATGGCCTGGATGCATCTGAATCATGGTGCTGGTGGTGAGGGATGCTTAAAATAAACAGATTTTTGGGCCTTGCTTCAGGAGGTCTTAGGTTAAAGCATTTTTAAGAGCTCCCCATGAGCTTCTCAAGCAGGGCCAGGTTTGATCTGTAACTATGGGAACTGGGAAGGAACTCATAAAAACACGGGGAGAAAAAAGCAAATATTAGAATTGACCCACAAAGCAAAATTTCAGTCTGCTTCAGTAAGGTACCTTTTGTTTGCTACACTGTTGTTTCTTATCTCCTCCTCCAGGTGAATGGGTTGTTGGTGGTGGTGGTAGTGGTGGGTGGAGGTGTGGGGAGGCGGGGTGAGGGATATGAAAACAACCAGAAGCATGGAGTGGGAGAACGCAAAAACAGAGCCCCAGAGTTGAGACAGGGAGGAAAGAAGGCCCTAAGAAGTGTGGTTCATGACTCTATTTTGTGGTTCTGAGGCTTCTGGGGCTGGAAGAGGGATCTCTTTCTGAAATATTGAGATGTGGTATTTGTGCTCAGGTTTCCCTACCGTGGCCTACAGACTTTGCCTCTGACTTAGGACAGGAGATGCCTGTCAGCCTTCTCCAAGCATGTGGCATTCCCTGTCTGCACCTTGGTTTCTCTGTCCTAAGTTCATAAGCGCGACTAATTCACATTGACTAAAATCTGAGGACCCAGTCTCCTTGTAGGAGCCCCTGCATATGAAATCAGGATCCCAGAGATGTCTGCAAGCGTGACTCTGAGGGAGAAATGAAAGGCAACAGGTGGAGTTATTCTGAGGCAGGAATACCCTCAGCTCATCCTTAAAGATTAGTGCTGGAACAGACCATCGGTCCCCCTGCCGGGGTCTGGAAAGGGCCCCAGGTCACCCAGCCAGCCAGTGCTTTCTGCTGCCCAAGGAATTATGACCTCAGCCCGCTGAAGGAAGGTGAGGAAAAGGATCAGGACTCACGGGTCAGGTACTTGAAGGCAGGGTGGGCACCAGTGCCGGTGACTGCGATCTTGCTAAACATGGGGAAAGAGACACTATAGGTGCGGCGGGCAAAGCTCTCAATCTCCTTGTCACTGTCGGGCTCCTGTTGGCCAAACTGATTACAGGGGAAAGCAAGCACGTTGAAGTGGTGGGGCCCCAAGTCCCGCTGTAGCTGCTGCAGGGCCCGGTAGTGCTGGTCTGTGAAGCCACACTCACTGGCTACATTCACCACCAGGGACACCTGGGTGGCAAAAACAAAACATACACAACCCAGTGAAGAGGCATGCACTTGTACATTCCCTGACAAGCCCACATGTGACCCCAGCCCCCAACAATTAATGCTCTCTCATGCATATAAGAACACAATGTACACATACGTAAATGTGAGTACAAAGCTCTCATATGTACACAAACATGCACATAGGCACAAATGAAATCAAACATGTAGGGGCATACAGATATGCGTGCATACACATAACATTCATGAGACTAAGCATACAATAATCACAGACAGGTGAGCATATGCTCCATGATACAAAGATGCATTAGCACACATCACACATGCCCATGAACACACACAACACATTTACAGAGAGGCATACACACCAGGGACCTCACATCAGATGTGCGGGAATGGAAAAACACCTGGACTCAATTTCTGGCTCAGTCATCTAGCACTCTACACTGTAGTTGCCTGTATACATGTCGGTCTCCCTTCTAGGATGTAAACCTACTGAGGGCAGGAGCTATGTCCACTTCATCCCAGGACCTGACATATGGAAAAGTCTCAGAAAGTGCCTCCTGAAGGAATAAGTAAGTGTGCACACATACCCAATCACCTGCATGGGTACATAGACAGACAGTGGTTTTCTTGATGAAAGGACCCCAAGGACCCCAGGACAATCCCTTTTTTGTCCCTGTCTCTCCAGCAAACAAATACTACTTTCTTCTATCACTAGGTTCACCCTTAAATTTATCTCCTTATAATAAATTTATTTATAAGTTTATTTATTGCCTTTAGGTGATAAATATAAAGTTGGCTGATGGAACTTGATTATAATACTGCAATTAGAATTTGGCACCAATGCTATGTTTTTAGCTTCTAGTTAATATATTATTAAAGGATTTTAAATCTCATCCTGTGTCTGGGCAGCCTGCCCTATCTCTCTGGCTATGTTTTTTTAGAAGAACCAGGATTACACCAGCTGGTTCCATACAGAGGGCCACCTCCCAGGGGCAGCCTGGGGCACTGGACATGCACACGCACAAACTGCTCAGGCTAGATAAGGTTTCTAAATCTCAGAACAATTGACATTTGGGGCTGGATAATTCTTTGTTGTGAGGGGGCTAGTCTGTTCACTGTAGGATGTTTATAGCAGCATCCCTGGCCTTTACCCATTAGATTCCTAGTCTTGACAATAAAAAATGTCTCCACACATTGCTAAATGTCCCCGGGAGAGCAAAATTACCCCCATTTGAGAACCACTGAGCTGCATGACAAGAACCACTGAGCTGGAACTCCGTCCCCCTGCCTCCAACCAGATTAGGAAGGACCCATTCCCTGGGGCCCCAGGCTGTGAGAACAACCTCCCCCATTCTCACCAGCATGTACCATGTTCTGCCTGTGGCAGTGAGAAGCTGGGATGCTTTAACTCCCTACCCTACTCAGGGATCTTCCTCTTTCTTCTCTGCTGGATCCCTGGGCAAGAAGAGCATTAAAAATTGCTTATTTTTAACCTGCATCTTGTGAGTCTGCTTACTCTATTGGAAGGAAGGAAATCCTTCTTTTGCTCCATGCCTGAAACCAAAAAGCTTATCCTTAAGGTGACCAAAACAGACACATCCAAGTACACACAGTTAATTAATTTATATATATATATATACACACACACACACACACACACACACACACACACACACACACACACACATATACATATATATGTACACACACACACACACACACAGAGATACAGGCTCATGTGTATATAGAAGCAAGCAGACAAACAAACCATTCACACACACACACACTACACTTAGGCCTATACATTTCAGGGAAACACCACATTCCCAAGTGGTCACTCATTCACTCATACTCAAAACTGATCTAAATGACTATCTTCCCAGTTAGCCTGAGAGCATAAATCATACAGTCTTGCTCATAACTATATCTCTAGGAATGGAACCAATGCCAAGCATGTAGGAGAAGCCAGTAAAATTTTTTTCAACTAAAAAATTATTATGAAATATACATAATGAACCAGTAACTATGTGTGAGGGAATGAATGACCATATTGCTCAAGTCGCAGACCTAGCTTGGGTTAACTCACAGCATCATTTACAGTTTCCCTGGACTGACTGTTCCTGGTTTCCCTCTAAACCTGGTGATTAAGGGCTTGGGCTCTAGAGCTGGGCTGCCTGCGTTCAAATTCTAATTCTACCACTTAGTAGCTGTGTGACATTGTTTTCTTAATTTTTTTTAAAAAAATTTCTTTCCGATTGATTTCTTGGCCTCTTGCTCCCGTGCATTGACCAATGACCTAGTCCTAGAGTATTAAAACACTCAGAATTCTGGGATTACTTCTCTGGGTCATCTTTCTCCAGGATTTCTGTTCCTCACATCCTGGATGTCTTATTATTTCTGAAAGCAAATGGACTTTATTCTATCCTTGTCATGGCACTTACTACTACTAGGAATTACCTTGTTCATTTTTCTGTTCCTTGTTTATTGTCTCTCTCCTCTCCACCTCACGTAAGCTCTATTAAAGTAGAAACTTGTCTGTTTTGTTTACCACTGCATCCCCAGGGCTGGCTTAGTACTTAGTATACAGTAGGTGCTCAATAATAAATAATGAATTAATGAGTAGCAGAGTTGGTCAAGTGCTATACCTGGGGCTCTGTGGCCAGCTGCACTAGGGGAAAGGGGAGGCCTGAATGGGAATAGGCTCTACTTTTACTGGGTCTTTGCTCTGTGTTCTGGATGCCACTACCGCTGGGGCCCACAAAACACAGGTACAGAGCACGCTACCAAATGTTTCCAAACTGTCATCTCATTTGAAACTCACAAGTGAAACTCACGGTTGGGGGACAATCAGGACAAGGATTACTGCCCCCAGGACTCCCAGCATAATTGAGAATTTAAAGGCTTAGAGAATACTTCCTTCACTAAAGATGACCTTGCACCTGGGGGAAGAATGCTGACAGCCATTTCTGTGTGGTTCATCAAATCTGGACTCTGGGCCCACCTGTCCCTTAGAGACCAACTCCTCACCCTTCCTACCACAGTCTCATTTGAGAAGTGGACTTGGAAGGCTCTCCATTACACACAGTGCAACATCTAAGCTTCTGGATGTGGTGTGCCAGGCTCCTCTTGGTGCCTCCCTACCTTCTTCAGCCTCATCTTTCACCACTCTCAGCATCATGTTTTATGCTCTTTAAAGCACACTGCTTGAAGTCCCCACCCCCATGCCCACCCCTCCACCATGCTTCTTGCTGTTTGCTTCTGAGCCTTGGCATGTACAGTTCTCTGCCTGGAATGATCTTCTTGGTCTTGCTAAAACAAACTCTTATTTCAAAGACTCATCCTGCACACTTCTTCTCTGAAGAACTCTCTGAGCTGAGATGCCCTCTCGGTAAAGAGGTAGCAGTTAGCCTGGATGACTCATGTCTCAGCTTTAGCTGCTATCATAGGAGTTTGCCTAGAGCAGACCAGGGAAGGGTGGGTGGTTCTCCAGGCTCCGTGCTCTGTGTGTGACCCTGTACAAATACCTTCCTTCTCTGGGCCTTAGCGTTCTACCTAGAGGATGGGTTGTGTAAGGTTCCCGTGCACCCTCTGCACTGCACATTCATTTCCACAGTGTTCTCATTGGACTCAGTATCAGCAACTCCCCCCTCTTCCAGATGCGGAAACTAGGGGTGGGAAAGACAAAGGCCGCAGAAGGCTAGGGTTACTTTTTCCACCCGTGCATGACAAAGTCTGGGCCCAGGGTATCCAGACTCTGAGAGCGGTCTGGACCCGCTGCCCAAAGTCGTCGGGAGGGAAATCGGCGCCGGCTGCGAGGGTTTCGGGTTTCACGGCGCGCCAGAACCGTGCCACGTTGTCGCGGGACAGACCCGGAGCAGGATGTGGCGGTGCCGCGCCCCCGGGAGAATGCCCGGGCGGGGGCGGGGAGACAGGGCAGTGTCGCTGGGCTGCAGGAGCACCCTCGGAGCCACACCCGGCAGGGTCTGGGGCCGCGGCGCGCCCCCATCAGGCCCAGCAGGAGTGGCGCCGAGGCCCCGCGGGCGAACACTCACCGAACCCCGGTACTTGTCCAGTGACACCAACTTGCCCCGGATGTTGACCGCCTTGAAGTCGTAGAAGTCTTGCTCTCGCTGCGCGCAGGCCGCGGCCGACAGGAGCAGCCACGCCGCTACCAGTGCAGCCCCCATGACTCGCTCCGAAGTGGCCGCGTTTCGAGGGCAAAGACGAGGCGGGGGGGACCCGGCGAGGGGGGGCGGGAGGAGGCGGCTCCGGCGCCACCCGGCCCGCTAAAACAGGACGCGCCCCCTTCTCTTTCTCCTCCGCTGGCGGTGGAGCGCCAGGCTCTGGACCTCAGTTTCCCCATCTTTACTGCAGGAGTGTTGGACCCAGCGTCCCTTCCCGGATCCCATACCTATGGTTCCAGGATTCTGACCACTCAGACCCGAACTCAGTTTAGTGAGACACCCTTTCGTTCCAGGATGCAGCGACTTGGTAGGGAAAGAAGGGGAAAATCTAGATCTGAGGGCTCAGTTTCCTAATTAGCACAGTGGCCTTAGGCTGGTCACGACACCTCCTTGGTCCTCACTTTCTTCATCTGTTCAGTAGGGCTCGCCTCCCTTCCTGCCACACCTAGGCAGGCAGTATTGAATGGAAGTAATAAAAAAGTGGATGTGAAAACACTTTGTTAGTTGAATAGTGCCTACAGACTTTCGGTAAACGAATGAACGGTTCCTGAAAGGGATGGCATCAAGAAGGGGAAGAGGAAAGGAGGACCTGTGGCAGATCGGGTTCCTGGGAAACAGAGTCTGAGATGGAGATTGCAGGGCATGATGTTTATGAGGGAGCACTCTGGGGGTCAATACCTGTGAAAGGGAGAGGAGGGAACAGGAGTGGGCAGAAGTCCAGAACTCCAGGTAGGCCTAAGGACAATGTTGGCTGACCTCACAGGGACTCTGGAGCTAGACTGGCCGGCCCATCAGAGTTGTCCCCAGATAAGCTAAATTGGCCTGGGCTTTATAAACCTGCCTTCATTAGTCATTGGAGCCATCTGGGAAGAGGTGTGACAGGAGCCAAATTAGCCCTGAAGAGGCTGACAGTTAAAAGCTTTCCACTGACAGCAGTGGTATCCAAAGTCTTCACTGATGGGGGATCTGGGCAGCACATCGTAATGTCTCCTACACTCAGAAAACCCCTACTGAGCCAAGCATGATATTGGGTGCTGATACAGTACTCGTTCTCCAGGAGCTCACAGCCTGCTATGTGAGAAGCCAGGTAAACTGGGGATTCTGTGAAATGTCGTAAGGGCTAAGCACTCCTACAGTCATTCAACAAATACTTCTTGAGCATCTGTACGACGTATGCCAGGTTATGCTCTAGGTGCCTCTTATGCAGTGATGAGCAAGACAGTGTGGTCCCTACCCAGGGGGAGACAGGTGTTAAACATTTCATAAATAGCTCTAAAATTACTATTGTGGTAAGTACCACCTAAACTAGCCTTGGGGCTGAGGGGCAGGGTACAAGGAGGGCTTCCTAGAAGAAGGAAGGTTTGAGCTGAGCAGTAGAAATTAGCCAGGATGAAGCAAGGAAGCAAGTGCAAAGGTCCTGAGGGAGAGAGAAACATGGTGCATTGAGGAACAAAGAAGGCTTGGAGTTCAGCTGGAGCAGAGAGAACAAAGGGTGTGAGGAGAAGGTGTAGAGGCAGGCAGGGGTGAGATCACACAGAATCTGGTAGGCCACAGTAAAGATGGTCTTTAAGCTAAGAAAAGAAGTTTTGTTCTTTTTTTAAAGCTGGAGAGTAGCAGTAAGTCCTATGTTGTAGAAAAATCCCTCTGGCTGTTCTGTAGATGGAAGGAGCAAGAGCAGATGTACTCCAGATGCTGGAGTAGAGGAAGGGCTGGGGTTCTGAGGCCCAGAGGCAGTTGCTAACCTAGTGGTCAGGAAAAGCCTCCTGGAGGTGGTAACACCAGTCTTTTTGTTGTTGTTGTTGTTGTTATTATTTATTTAAAATTAGTTTCAGGTGTACAAAACAATGTAATAGTTTGCTGTTACATATCAAGATCCTTGAGCTTCTGATGGGTCCTGTAATATTATTATTATTATTATTATTAATTATTTTTTAAAGATTTTATTGGGGAATTGGGGGAGGGGAACAGTGTTGGGGAATGGGGGAAGGGAAACAGACAAGTTGCTGTCCTTTTGTTCTTCAGTCTTGTTGGGGAGGACCTCGCTGCACTGGCCCATGTTTGTATTATCCTTGCGCTATCCGTGAGGCAGATCGGTCGCCGGCCACTGGACGGCCACTCACAGCGGCTCTTGGCAGCTCATCCCGGCTGCCGGCCGCTCACGCTGGCTGCCGGCCACTTACAGCAGCCCACTGCAGCCTACGCCGTCACCAGCAACTCATGGCAGCCCAGGTCCAGGTAGAGCTATTGTTCACCATCTTAGCTGTAGAGGGCGCAGTGTCACTGGCCCTTTATGTGGGATCCAAACCGGGGCCCTGCTGCTCAGAGCTGGCGTCCCAAGCCAACTCTTAACCAGCACGCCACTCGGCCGGCCCTGGGTCCTGTAATATTAAATGGTCCCCTCTTCTCTGCTTTGTCCCTGTGAAGCTATTGGTCTCCCTTCCTGCCATCTCTCTCTCTTTCATTCAGCCTTTCCTTGCAATGTTTCAATAACCAGGGGTTTTCAAGTTCTGTTCCACACAACTTGGAGTTTTGCAAGCTTGCCAGAGTTATTTCCTGTTAAAATCCAGATAGGTAGGAATTTCTATATACTAAGCAGGAAAAAAAAAAAGTTACTGGTGAAATGTTTCTCACTTGTAAATTTCTCTCCTGGGCCCTTCAGCTCCTCCCCTATTCATGCTTCAGAACACAGCTCAGATATCCATTTAGTCACTCCCTCCTCTCTGTTGCCTTTGTACCTAGTACATTTACCTGTTAGTGGGCTGGTAAGAATATGGTGCAGTTGTCTGTTTCCATGGCCACCAGACTGTGAGCTCCTTGGGGGCAGGCAGGACTGTCTGTGAATCATCTTTGTGTGCCCCTTGTACCCACTAGCGACTCAGTAAATATTCATTTTTCTTAAACCTTCTAGTAACTTTTATTACTTGTCTATACTAGAGTCTGATATGAGATGCTATTAATTTTAGTCAACAGTGTGTATTTTGTCATTTTATTTTCAGTCCTCTGTGCATTTTTGGTGTTTCTGAAAGAGCACAGCTATTCCCATTTGGTTCATCTACACAAGCAGGAGACCTGCAGGCATAGATAAATGCACACACAGTTAGCTGAGCAGCTGGAAGGGGAGAGGCCTCACTTCTGGATCTTCTGCACTTCTCTTTTCTGTAATAAGCTTGAAGCTTTTTATGGGTATTTAGAATACTCATTAATGTGTTATTCATTCAACAAATTGTCGAGCATCTACTTTGTATAAGACACTATTTTAAGGTCTAGGGATATGTAGCTAATAAAGCAGACAAAAAAGACAAACAAAAAATTCTTCAACCTACATCCTAGTGGGAGGGGGGAAGGATATTAAAAAATTTATTGTATGAAACATATAGTACATTAGATGGTGATAAGCAGGGGAGAGGGATAGAGAATATGGTGGTGGGGTGGGGAGGGATTGCACTTTAATGCAAAGGATCAGGAAGCCTTGCTGAGAAAGTGTGATTTGAGTTAAGACAGGAAGAAAGAGAGCAAACAGTGGAGAAAACTGGAAGAAGAGCAACATTCCAGGTAGAGGAAACAGCAAGTACAAAGGCCCTGAGGCAGGAGCATGCATGATGTGTTTGGAGAACAGCCAAGAAGCTAGTGTGGATGGAGTGGAGTGAGTGAGGGGAAAAGTAGCAAGGGATGAAATCGGAAGTGTACTAGGATGTGCAGGCAGATACTTCAGGAGAGTCTTATAAACTATTGAGAAGACATTTGCTTGGACTCTGAGTGAGATGGGAATCCACTGAAAAGTTTTAAGCAGGGGAATGACATTTCTAATTTACATATTAACCGCAGTATTGAAATGAGACAAATTAGGAGGCTATTATAGTAATTCACGTGAGGAAACAAATAGGCTTAGACCAAAGCTATGGCAGTCGAGGTGGTGGGAAGTAGTCAGATTCTGAATATATTTTGAAAGTAGAGCCAAAAGGATTTTCTGGTAGGTTGGATGTAGAGTTTGAGAGAAAGAGAAGCGTCACAGATGACTTTAAGGTTTTTGGCCAGAGCAACTGAAAGAATGACGTTGCCGTAATTGAGATAAAGATGCCTACAGTGCCACCTGGTTTGGGATGGGAAATCAAGAACTCAGTTTTGGACGTGTTAAGTTTGAGTTGCCTATTAGCAGTGGTATACTGGTAAATATTTAACAACTGGCTCTCCAGGAAAAAAGTGTGTGTGTGTGTGTGTGTGTGTGTGTGTGTGTGTACTCATATAAGTTATTATAAAGTTTACTGATAATAAATGATGCATAGCACACAATTCACAAATGATAATAAAATATACAACACTCATTGTAAATTCCACATGGCCAATTTATTCTCACAAAATGCTTTAATTGATTTTTGCCACACTTGTGTCTCTAGCCAACTAACGGTTGCAGTTGCTGAACACGTATGTTTCCATGATGAAGGTTGGTTGATATTTTCATTTACATTAATAGTAACATTAAAGTGCAACAATAAAGACGTATGTTGGAACTATACTAGTCAATGACTAAAGTGACTTCTTTGCTAAATTGGATGATAGTAGCTTTCTCCAATGCTGGAGGAATATTTTCCCAAGTTTTTTATGTTATTCACAATGTAATAGCTACAGACAATACATTGCAAATTTAATCTGCATTATTCTCATTTTCCCCCGTCACTTTATTAAGTATAGGCAACCAACAAAACAATCAATCAATCTCTGATCGGTAGCATTTGCCAATTTCTGTGGTGTAATATTTTCACTATGGTTGGTTTCAGAGCTACCAACATGATGTCACTGAACATGGAGTTGGAAAGAGATGTAAGATTAGCACATCATTATATAGTGTTTACACAGTACAGCTAGAATAGATGTAAACAACCCCAAGAACATAGGAAATAATAAAATATAGTAAAATAATTAGTGATTTTTGAATATTACCTTTGTTTTTAATACAATTTATTGAATTTTAAGTTTACATAATTTAATTTTTAGTAACAGCTGCTTTTAACAAGAGGTTGGAAAAATTCCTGAAAATGTAACAGT